ATACTGCACAAAACCCATGCAGTAGAATAGAGTCAGTTCTTGCATACAAATCCCAACAACAACATCATTGTCAATTGGTATGATGGCTTTGGTTGGGTGTTCTTCTTCATTGTATGTCCACACGGACTCATTCTGACAGCACTTGAGACAGCAACTGCATGCCCCGAGCTTGTTGTGTACCAGGCACCATGGTGTTATTATTGTACAGACAGCACTTCAGACAGCAGTACGCTGTTGTAGTCGACAAACATTCATTTTGGTAAAATGCGGGACAAGGGGAGTGATGCTGCTGCTGTAGTCGATTTGTAGTGTGTGTGTGGGCGTGTAGTTCAGTTGTGAGCATCCAAACGTGCTGCAGGGATTGCAGGTGTACCTCCTCGGACTTGTGTACCCTTATCTTGCTAATAGTGTGTGTGTTCATTAGATCTTCTGATGTACGTTGTTGTATGTTGTCTTCACATTAAACCGTGTGTCAGTTGCTAAATGCCAAAATCTAGTAAACGACTCTCAGCCCGCGTGGTCATGAAAGTGCTAGAGCCATCTGAGGATCTACAGAACACGCACACATATAACGAGAAAAAGGTATCCAAGAGCCCGAAGAGGTACACCTAAAAATCCCTGCAGCACCGTATGCATGCCCAAAAACTGAACTGCACGTCCGTCCCACCGTTCGACTACAGTAGCATCACCCCCTCCCTGTCCCACTCTTTACCAAAACGGAAGATTGCCGACTACGGCATAATGCTGTCTGAAGTGCTGTCTGTACAAAAACACCATGGTAGGCATGGAACAAGCAGCTGGCGGGGCACCAAGCTGCTGTCTGAAGTGCTGTCAGAATGTGTCTGCGGCCGTACAGTGAGAAAGAACAACCAACCAAAGCCATCATAGCAGCAATTGACAATCACCCGAATCTCTCCCGATCGTCTGTGTAGGCACTGCAGTGATGGCTCTAGCATTATTGTGACCACTGACCGAGTCTTTGCTGGCTGTTGGGATTGGCAACTGACACGAGTTTAATCTGAAGAAAACAAACAATCTTTTCTATGAAAAAGAGGTGGACTCGATGTGTCGTATGCACTATACTGAGCTGGACTGTCAGAAATAGATGCGGCGCAACTTGTACGCGGGTACGTATGCGCACGCAGGCGCGCAGCAGGTGGTTCGCGGGAACATCTTTGTACCGTTTCAGCCTGTTGTCCGGAGTTGGTAGTTGGTCCCCGCTCGTCGGTACAGTCAGTACGTCAGTCGTCGGCACGAGGAACGGGCAGGTTGGTCTGTTCTAAACAACTTCTACACACAACGATCGCGGGCCTTGGTGATCATGGTCGTTGCTCTCGATGCGATTATCTTGGCGAGTGGAACGGTGTATTCCCTCGTTTGCCTCAGTCACATTGCCCAGATGTGGGGTATGCGCCACGGATTCCAAGTTGCCGTCAGGTAAGGCGCAATTCCTGCCAGCGGGACTCGCATCCGGTGGATTGTGAACTTTCGGACCACGCGCTGTAGTCAACGAACATCGCTTTGGTTGTTGCCAGACAGGTGGAACAAAGGCTCGGGGGTTGTTGGCATTTGAATACAGAAGGTCATACCCGATGATGTTGTGCCCTGTTTCCCTCCCTGCTGTATGCTATAGTCTAGTCTACTCCTTTATGTATGTCCTTTGTATTGCCTTCGACCTCTGTGCTGTGTTTCTGTGTTTCTTTTTTTTATGTCCTCCCTGCCTACTCTGCTCTGTTGGGTACCTTGATCTCGCTTTGCTGTTGCCTTTGTTTTTGTACGTCTGGCTGTGTGCCCATCTGCCGCCTCTTTGTCCTGTTTGCTCCGTTGCTCCCATGCCCTGGTGCATAGTATTGGTTGTTGTTTGTTTTGTTGTTCTCCCATCATTGGACTCTGCCGTCTGCCCCTCTGGCCCCTATCCTCTACTTCTACTTGCTAGACGACCCAACCGGGGTCACATAGGAGGGGGGGGTTGGACCCCCTCCTGCGGTTCATGCCTGAGGTATTTTTATCGCGAGAAGGGTACAGCAATCCCTTCCCTCGCGACTTGCGAAGTCGATTATGGTTTACTAACAACGAGCTTTGCAGCGCGTCGCTTTCATCCTAGACCAGGATTTATTTAGTGAGAAAAAACTCTCTCTGTCGGAACTCGAACCCATGACCTGGCCCTTGGAAGGCTGCGAGGCTATCCACTAGACCACCGGGGCGGGCGTAGTGCCTGACACTGGTACGTTACCCTTTGATTTTTTCTTTGGGCGGGTGTGGGAAGCGTCCTCTTTTATTTTTGTTTTTGTTTTATTTTGATGCAACAACAACAACAACCCCATAGCGCAGGAGATACATGTGTTGAAGTGTTGTATGCGTAGTCTAGACTAGACATGAAGATACCGCGACTTTCAGCTGTGGTGCAGACTTGGTTTGTGCGCCGTTCGGTTGTTTGGTTATTTAGTAAGAATAGATACAGTCGTGGTTCCGTTAAAGGAGGGTCGAAATCGGTTGTCACGGACTCGATCCGCTAGGGTTAATTTAGACTATAGACTACATACGGTATGCCGGACCCTTCATAGTGGGGTCACGTCACAATTGAGGGGGTTGACCGCAGGACTGTAAGTTAGGGGCCGTCGCCGCTGTATGGCTCCCCCGGCCTTTCACTCACACACAAACACACCTTCATCACAACAAACGCCACAGTAGGAATAGACCAGAGAGGAGCTGCCTAAGAAAAGAGATATTGTGCTAAAACTGGTGGTATTTGCAAGGAGGATGATGCAACGATGATGAAATCACTCCGAGACGAACACGTGTGCAAAATAGCAGCCATGGGTATACACGTGCAGGTTTCTTCTATTGCCACAGTCTCTATCTTTCATCTGGAGAGTAGCTTAGCCTCCCCCATGGCGCCCCCTCATGTGGCCCCAGGTCCTGGCCTCTGAAGCACTTTCTGTGTTGTGCGCACTGAGACTGACGTGTTTTCATTGCTTACCTGGCTAGCGAGGTCGGTGTTAACAATAGGGGTGAAGTATAAGACACAAGAACACACATACACCGCGGCGCCAAGTAGAAGCCGGGGTCTGTTTGTGCAACCGCAAGAATTTCGTTCCTTTCAGCATATGGTTCAAAACCTGCACCGCAGACAGACGTTAGGGAGCTCTCCTCTATAAATGTGGGCAATGAATGTGTGTATGTATGGCGTGCGCCAGTGGCCAGGAGAAGGTAGACCGCTCGTTGGTGCGATACAACACTTACTTGTAGCCTGTACACATGAAATTTCTTGTGGTCGGAGAAGTGTGGAGGAATTGTGACATACATGTTGTTCGACTCTGTTGCGTGAATTTCTTGCAATGGTGAATGAACCTGGCTGCGTCAACTTGGCTGCGAGGCAACTATTCTCTGCAGATGTTCCAACTCCATGAACGAACAAAACACAAGATGGAAAGCGTTGCCAATACGCTCACAATCATCCGGCTTGCTATATGTCAATTCGGGCAATCAGCCCACCACAGGTGCTCTACAACCCACCACACATACATGCTTGCACACCTACAAGGCATACTGGTAAGCTGTGCTGTAGTCAAAGTGCCTGCGTTTCTCGTTATTCCCGATCTCCCGCTTTGCCCCCATATGAGAGGGTACCCTCTTATACATACCAATATAAGAAGGGGCTCTGATATAAGAGAGTGGAGTGCCTTTGTCACACCACCGACGGTGGTCTATAGATACATATATACCATGGTGAAGGTCCAAATTACGCAAACAATGTCGCTGGACGATTACTCAAACCTGTACATGCGGCTCCACTACTGTACTCTACTACGTGCCCGACTTATTGACTACTGTAGTGCGTTCTATTATTGACTGTTTTGTCCAACAACCGCACAACATCTCCCCTCTGTATGCACCCTTTCCCAGGTCACCTGTCCTAGCTACGTTGTCGGGCTGCTCCGGCGTCATAATGATAACCGTCTCCATCTACCGCCTCATCCTGGCGACTACCATAGCCGCCTCAGCGGTTGACCTTATCTTGACGCCAATGTTGCTCACGGCTTACACCGGGGTATACGTCATGAGAGGCTTCCGACTGCTTGTCATGTACAATCCTGCTATGCGCGGGCGCTTCGGGAGACTTGTTAAGGAATCCTTGATGGTCCGGACATCGCTTGTTTCCTATGCTGTTCTCGAGATCGTGATCTGGTCTGCCACCGGGATAGTCGGGGTAAAAAGGCAAGTAATACCTTTGCCGGGCGCTCCTCAACTTGTATCCGGCAAAAATAGAAACAAAACATTACCGCTTGAGCTACTTCTCGGTTGAGTATTAGTTCGATGCTGTTGAAAAACGGGGGCGACGTCAAGTTTGTGGATTGGGGTACCCGGCTGTCGCGATATGGCATGCTCTAATTGATGTTGAAATAGACAATATGAAACCTCACCTATGTACACACATTGAAACCAGCAATAAACGGGACAACGTGTACAGAGAGGGCCCGCCGTTAAGAAACAAAATGTGAAGAAAAAAAGGCTCCATTAAGGAAAATAAGAAAACAATCTCGGCCACAACATAAGGAACGTCTCAGCAAAAAACATGATCGTGCGATACTCCAAGGCAAAAGAAGCGAGGGTTAGAAGCTAGGGAAGCGTGTCTTAAGAAGCGCCCCACTCTGCTGCTGCTGCTGCTGCTGCTGCCATGGTCTCACCCCTTACCTAGCTCATGCCATGTAATGTTTTGGTAGGGGGAGAGGGTGGTTATTTTCGCCCGGCGCCCCCCGCGCCCCAGCGCCGCCGCGGGCTGCGTTACGGACTGCTGCTGTCTGCTGGCACAACCCCCAATGTTAGCCACACCGAGCTGTGTGTTTGATGTTGCATGAAGGCTTGGTGTGTTGTTGTTTGCTTCGCCATCGGAAAATACAACATAAGAAATAAGAGAATCAGCAGGATGCGACAGACCGAAGCAATGAGAAATCCTTCTTAAAAATTGTCCGACTTCGGTTGGTCATTCTGACCGGAATAAGACATTGAGGCTCGACCCATTCTTGACGTTTCTTGTCTCCGGGCCCTATCTGTACCTCCTGCCACTGCTGTAGCATGGATTTTGAATTGGTGCCAGCCACGGGCACATCATTGTAAGGACACCTTCAGCGGAATATTTGTGAACCTCAAACCTCCAAGTCAACCATCACCACTCAGCGGCCCGCTCCCTCGTGCTGGCGAACGTGGGTCCTTGCCCTGTGCCACCACAGGATAGCCTACTTCACGCTCGGGGTGTTCGTAGCGGACACCCTCCTCACTTTAGGCGCATCGCTCGTGCTTTTCGGCAAACTGAGGAAGACAAAAGATGTGTTTGACATGTCACGTGAAATTCAAAAAGTGGGCATGTTCGCGATGGCAGCGCTTGGTGAGTACACGATGTGACTTATTTTTCCACCACATCCCCTATATTTGAATTCATTTGTGATAAGATCACCACTAAAGGCTAACAACAAACCTTTGGACGCAGAGTGCTACCATGCGGTGAAAGATCTGTCTACCGTGCGACCATCGCAAGCTGGTAGGTGAGAAGTAGTCACTGCATTCACAGATACGAGTGAGGCACTGCATACACAAATACTGGTCAGGCATAACGACGTCCACTATAGCCTCTCCACAACGAGAGTATTGTCCGTCACACCCAACGAGTCTGGGTATTTCTCAATGCTTCTGTTCGGCGTATGTTGGCTTCGGCGTGGTTCAAGGACATGCAGCGTTGACGTTTCCATCTTTTGAAGTGTTGGTTTAACGTCAATTGCGGTACGCCGCCGGTCGTATTCGGCGTTCGTCTCGTGTATCACGTTCGATAGCCGAATCTCCCCCTCCTCCTTTTTCTCATTTTTGCTGTTTTGTGTATTTCCCTTGTCAAGCGAATTCCTTGGTCATCCGGTGCCTTCTCGATGTCTTCCCTGCTACAGCACACCAA